AAGACGAAGGCAATTTCGTCCCATCCGCCGCCCCACCCCCGCCTCCCACGCGGCTGAACTATCGCCAATCGCGGCCCAGCGCCCGGGGCGGACGGCACCCGTTCTTCAAGCGCCGCTTCGAGCTTCCACAGGCTCCTTCGCAGCCTCGTCGACTCGCCAAGGCCATCGACAACCCGAGCGAGGACGCTCTTTGAGATAGCGCGGTGATTTAAAATGGGCGTTGTCAATATTTTTAGTACCTCTGGTTCTTAACGCGCCGTCGCCTGTGAGATGCATTGCTGCGAGATTCTAATTTAACACCATGCTAAGGGTTCCAAGCAATCTTATTCTTCTTTTTCTCGTTCAACAGCTGAGAATTTTGCATTGATCTGTCCTCCACACTAAACAGAGATTTTTGTGAAAAAAAGTGGGGAATGACACCGACCTGGATGGCAGATGTGGCAAAGTGTCTACACTTCCCAATCATCCGAATTTGGTATGTCGACTCAGGACGACTCAGGGGTTTGGTCCGAAGGCTCGCGGGTTCGAGTCCCGCCTTGGGCATGGTTGTTCGTCTCTTCTTATCTCATGAATGTGTGTTGTCATGGAAGGCCTCACGTTCTGCTGACACCAGAGCAGAGGAGACCGCAAGTGTGTTGATGTCTGGTGTGTGGTTGAATATGCTCACCATCGGAACGTAAATGGTTAGACGGTTTTCGGCTGGATGAAAGCCCCGGGAAAGATAGTAGGCGATGAGCGATTCGAGGTGGGGTGATGAACCCCTTCGCTCGACCCTGAAGATGGGGAATGTGGACAGGATAGGGAAGATAACTGCACGCAGTCCGTGACTCATGTTCCTCAGCGCTATTCCTACATTAGCAAGATATCATGGAAACCACTTATCAGAACAGTCTGCCAAGGCATTGGGTTACGACAGGCGTCGTAACAACATTACGTATTGTATTGTCCAAATAATATTTCTGACTACTTGAGATCTTGGGGCAGGGTAGAGTAATGATGCCGCTTATTCGGTCTTGTGATCGTGTGGTCACTTTTCCATCAGATTACAACAGGAGCATCAGAAATTAGAAATAAATCGCAATAAAAGCAAACAAGAGTAGACGACATGGACCCACACACACGATCCATAACTAAACACGTACCGAATGGCGCTCGGCGCTCCCATTGTCAGTTACATTGCAAAGATTTTATTTTTTCATCACAACCATCGGACGCTCTGCAATAACTTCACAAATTAAAGTCTCTGACAGAATAAAAGAACCCTCTTCCCTGTCAGTTGTTAGCTGGCAAGTAGAGTTTCAAGTTTATTCAAAGAATAAACGCATCACCTGAACGATCGTCACGCTGTTGGTAGGCCCCTTACTAGTTTTGATGCTACAATGAATAATAACACGTTGGGGACGTTCTTCAAGAAAACTTTTATTTCGCGGAAGTCTCAATAAGTGGGAGAAGGAGATTGAGATGGAGAATTAAGGTTCTAGAATGTTAGGTTCGTTGTTTCAAGTTCTCTTCCGTTATCAGCTTGGAATATATCGAAGGAAACCGCAGAATCGATCGCTCACAGTAGTCTGTCTTAAAAATTCTCAGACACCTAAAAACCCTCCTTTTTGACAGCTAAAATGCCTCAATTCTGAGACAGCTTAAAAGCAGTTATTAATCCGGCGTCTTGTTCACGTTATCGTCGGAACTCTAAGAACATCTCGATATAATATAAATCCCCCATTCATACAATAGTTACCGTTTTTGTATATTATACAGGTTAATTATGGAAACATTTTTAAATTATTTGGAAAATGTATTTTACTATGAGTAAAATTCATCAGAACAAGGTGAACAGACTGGTTAATTTCTTCTTCTTAATAATAATAATAGTAATAATAATAATAATAATAATAATAATAATAATAATAGAAGGAAAGAGAGGAAGGCGAGAGGAAGAGCAAGGGGAAGAGGAAGAGAGGGAGAAAAGGAGAGAGGAATTGGAATATGCTTGTAAATATTATAAACCTCTTCAACCAGAAAACGTCTTTCACGTGTATATGAGATACGTCATCACCAGTGCTCCTTACGTATGAAGGCCACGCAAAATGGCGGTGCGCGTTCCGAAGCGATCGCCATTTGTCCTCGCGCGTCGCTGTCCTCACCGTCCTCGGGGACGGCGCCCAGAAACTTCTTCCCTCGGGGGAGCCTTCCCCGGGGCGGAGATTGAGCCTGGAACGGCTTTCCGGGATTTGATTCCAGGGAGACGAGTGAAGGTGGCCGGCTTGTTTCGTTGTGCAAGGCGGCAGAAAGCCGCCCGAAATCTTTTGTTTCCTTTTCACGCGTGTTTTCAATTCATTTTCGCAGCGCGAAACAGTTACGACAAGACTGAAAATTGAAACATGAGATTCAGATTGAAACAGGAATGCTTTTCATAAGTGTCTAATGCTCAAGCTAGATCACGTTGAAAAGAACGTAAAATCGTTCTCCTGGTTTTCACGTACTGTTTTAAGTCTCAAGGATTTTCAATTCATTTCTTCATATGGAATGACCTCCAACTGACACATTTTCAAAAGAAAATCGGGGAAAAGGCAAAAGAAGAGAAATGGAAGGGAGATTTCGAGTTACGCGCTAAGATGGAAGATGATTTCTTTAGATATCTAACACGAAAGCTACAGAATGTTGAAAGTAGCAAATAAATCTTTAGTCAAGCTTTTTACTACTTTTTCTTTATATGTCAACATAAATAAATCCATTTTCTTTCGTGACGCATGATGATTAAGGTATTCCTAAAACAAGGTAACGAAAAAATAAAGTATCTACTCTTGCTCTTCATCTCAGTTAAATAATTTAAATTGAGTTTTACTACTAGAAATTGAAGGTAATATTGTAATGCAGTTATCAAGATTGTCTTAGAAAGATTTCATGATAATTTCTTAAACGTTCAACTATTCTAAATTAATTACAATATCTCACCACGCTCTTCATACAATGGCAAACTTTAAACACATCAGAGGGGGTTAGGACACATTTTGACCTTCAATACGCCATCGGATAAATTGCAATTTAAAAACGCAGTCCAATTACTGGAATGGAACATTTAATATTATTTTAGCTCGAGCACGAAATGAACGCAGGGCGACTTTCATGTTATCACGCTACACACCTCACTATCTCGGTTAAGTAATATTCCACATAATGATTAAAACCACACATTACTTTGTAGTCTCGGTCCGTCTCTCCCCTCTAGCTCTGTCCATCTTCCACTTGAAATAACGTCGGGCCACATCAGGAAAATGTGATTTCGCTCGGAAATGAACATATTTGAGAGCGCTGAAATTTTGTTTGCCTGAACGTGCCAGTGAGTAAATTACGCTTTAAAAACTTGTTACGCGAATCGTTGCAAATCTGCTTTCCGCAAACGCACTCAGACCGGTAGTTGGCGACGATTGAATTCTCTTTCTCCCAGGACTTTGGCATCGGACACCCAAGCGGTTGTATTTATTCTTTTTCTGTTGTTTATTCCAATTGAAAAAATGCAAAAGGACGATTGATTGATTGATTGATTGATTGATTGATTGACTGATTTGCGTTTCCGAGCGCGTCAAATACAAAAGGTCATTAGTACCGTAACTGCAGTGCATGTTTTTATCACAGAAGGAAAGGAAGCAGAAGGAAAGATTGCGCGTAATCCGTGACCCTTTTGTTTGGGTAGTAATCCGGCATTCGCCTGATGTTGATCGGTAAAACCACGAAAAATTATCGATCAGAGCAGCCGGCCCCTAGAATGTCCCTCTAGACAGCGGTTGAATTCGACCTAGTCATCTATCTAGCATCGAAAATTCTTCCACCGTAAGGACTGGAATCCTAGGACCTCCCAGTCAGAGCCACTGCATTCACATCATTTGATGCACAGAGTCACCTCTCCCGAAGACAGTCTCAAGAAATATTTATGCCCTGAGATACCTTAAATGGTAAAATATAACGAACAACAATAAAGACTTGTGAGCGAAACTGCATCACATATAGCAACTGATAAGGCGCAGTTGAGGTTTGGATATTTGAAACTAATGACAAAGCTCCAGCCTACTTCACACACTATTAACACAAAGCGCCTTTGAATGTGTTTAAGGCTTAACGTATGTCAAAATACTTTTTTCCTGACCATATTTTTTTGAAAAAAAAGGAAAAAAGCAGAGAATGTCTACAAAAAATTTAATAAAATTATTTACAATCATGTAGAATGCTCTTGGACACTTTTTTGTGTAAACTTGGGTCCCTGTAGACACTTCTATTCACTGTAAAAAATGTAGAACTGCATTAACTTAAAAGACGCCTGAGTTCAAATACGAACATTCAAAATACCAAATAGAATGGCCTTGTTACCGCAACTTCCCTCGATTTTCACATTCGTTCTGCGGTTTTGTGGCGTCGGGAGACAATTTGCAAACGTGAGAAGGCTAAGGATAATACATTATTAATTTACACATTGAAAAAATGTAAAGGTCCATCGTGAATCTCTGAAATAACGCAACGAACGGATCTGTATCGACACCTAAAATCAAGAGACTGGTATATACGAACACAGTACATTGAATACCTGGAACTATAACCGATTTCAATTTTGAACTTGCAAACAATCTAACATGCTAATAAATATTAGGCATCGAATAATTTTGACAAACAGCAAATTATGTGTCACGCCGACTTGGGATGGCATTATGTAAATAAAGAACGCTGAAGGCTAGAGCATCGTCCCCCTTTCGGAAATGAGTACAGAAGTGTCACTAATTCTGAAAAAACTTAAGCATAAAAATACATCGGCAATTATTTGTTCATCAGACTGCCTATACAATTTCGTACGTATTCAATGTGTCCTGCCATTTTCAGATTTAAGTAGGCCGTTCTGGTTTCTCGCGGTAGGGAGTCGATGCCCTCTCATTTTATACGATAATGAATAAGATTCACTGTAAGTAACTTGATACCTCATTGAGGAATCAATAATTTCGATGACTACTTACCGTACGATGCACTGACAGTCTGCTCGAGAAAACGTGATCCGTTCAGCTTGGTCGACACGTAACTGCACAGAGACTGCGCTGAAGGACACTCTTGAGAACTGACTCATAGTATACATATAGTTCACACTACACTATCGGTTTTGACGCACACGTACTGGTTTCCTGATTGTAATAGTTATACTTTACATTGTATTATTTCCCTCGCACTTGTAGAGGATGCGTGTAAGCTCATCGGATAGCCTTTCGTTCACTGGCGCTCAATGAACAGTGCTGCAACGGTGGGTTCGACAGTGACGCCACCTATTGAGAAGCCCTGATACTACAGCTCCTTAGGCAAAGCTCGAAGACATTTTCAGAAGAAGCGAAAAATGGGAACTAGTAAAGAGGAAAAGTGCAGGTTTAGATCAAAATTCTAATTTTAATTCAATTTATTCAGGTAGTATAATTTAGATGTCGCTTTTACAATTTTTAGATCTGTAAGTTTTGCTCAAAAACATATGGTAACTCAAGTATCATATAGCATGTAAGATAACAGCCTTTCACTGAGGCATAGACCTGTGTGTGAATCTGCATCAAACTATTTCCAATTTATCATTCATCTTATACTTTCACATTTTTTAAAGAATTAAAGTAACTAGAATGTAATGAAATAAAATACAATCGAACAAAAACTGAAATAATGTAAGGTACAAATATATAGAAAAATTTGAATGTACGAATTTAATTTTTATTTCCATTTTGTAATGTTTTTATACAGCAGAATGAAATTGTTATATGGAATTTTCGGAAGTTAGTTTTGGTGTTTATTTTCGTAATTATTCTTTAAAAATCTTTATTATGAGCACTTGTTTTATTTTAAAATATTTCTTTTAGGTAGGCATTTTAGAGATTAGGTATATAGAATGATGTTTTTCTACAAAATATTCCTTCTGCCTTTCTCTCAGAAACATTAAATGGAACATTAAATGTTACCAGGAAAGAATTATCTCCTAGAAATGGACAAAGAGCTCACTATAAAAAGCAGATAAGCGACATTTTTTTTTCAAAACTAACAATTTTATTAGTTTTATACTGTGTTGTGCATCACCCTACCAAAACGCCATGTGTAATTCCTTGTGTAGTAGCTGCTACGCCTACCAAAAGGTAGCTTAGTTGTTACTTCAGACATCTCATCATATAGAGGGACTAAGTAACATAAGGCGCTTCCCTCGAGTACATACACGAAGGTATCTTCAATTGTACAGTACAAGTGGTTGCAATTATTTCAATATTTTGCCTACGAACTTCTTTTTAATGGACCACTACATTTTAAATTAATTCATAAATATTGAGAAGAAAAATTTAGCAATGCTGCGAATGTTGGTATCTGATGAATAATTATTATCATTAATGGGTTTTAAAATACGTTAATACAGGTTCGGGAGTACGCAAATTTTTGCCTAGAAAGCATTTTTTCAAACCAACGTTTGAGTGCTTATTGCGGCTCAGCCATTCAGAATATTCGAGTAGTTTAGTAGACAAAATATGCTTAAAATTGTCTTAAGAACTTATTTTTGACGTTTTATCCTCGGACACTTGTATATGACGATTAACAGACACGCCCTTAAGCCTCTTCTTTTCTACCTTTAATCCTAGTACACCGTTTGCCTGATTGGCCTCACTTCGTAGTCTCGTCACCGTCTGTCACCCCACTCCCTGCATCACACTAATATCTTGTAATTTTACCTAACCACTTGGCACACCTTACGTCTCCTTTTATCTTCAACGGTCTATCTTTCGATGAACCTCTAGCCCATATCCAGGTATATGCTTTTGCCTCCACTGAGTCTCGTGCCGGACTTAAAACACCTTTCGTCCGGGTGTATCTTGAACTTCAGAACTTCGCTCCTACCCCGTAGTCTCACGAATTCTCTGAACTTTCTCTTAATCCACCTCTTAGCCTCTAGCCTTTCGTCTTCCTCTTGAATTTTCTAACCAATCACCGCCCCGCCCTTATGACGCCCATTGCACCCTGTTTTAACCCCTCATCCTCGTGCACTACGATTGCGCACCGTTTTCCGGATTGACCCCACTTCACAGCCTCGTCACCTCTTGTCAGCTTCACTTATTCTCTCCGTGTCTTCGTTTTCTCCTCTCTTTCCATCTGACCGCCTGGAGAAGACCTGCCGTCACCTCTTTCCAACTCCTACAGCTCTACTTTCATGAACCCCAGCTTCCTTTCTTCAAGCGCTCTCTTTTTATCCATACAGAGTCCCTAAATATTGTGCACCTTTTTAATATGACCTCATACCTCGATCTCATCATTTCCTGTCACTTCCACTTCTCTCGGCGTGTGCACTTTCGGCTCTCCTTCCACTTCACTCTCGGCCAAAGACTTGGCACAGTGTCTTTCCAACTCTAATAATTCTACCCTAGTGAACTCTAGCTTTCTTATTCCACGGCCCCCTTATTTTAGTACAAAGAGCGTCAAAACATTGTGTATCAATTTTTAGGATGAGCTTACATCTTAGCCTCATTATCTATTATCACGTTCACGTCTCTCGGCGTCTTTCATTTCCGCTCTCTTTTCGCCGGACCACCTGGACAAGACCAGATGCCAGAGTGCACCCTCATTTGGCAGCTCTTCACTCAGCTGCCCCCTCCACTTCTCCGCCCCATATCTCCTTAATCCCCCTCCCCTTCCCCTAACCACCTGACCAAACGCGACGCCGTTCCACCTCCGTTGAACCCCGGCCACCCCAGCGCAGCCAAGCGTCAAAGCGGTGAGTCTCCCTCCCCTCCTTTCCGAGAAACAAACGAGCGTTGTTTGAGCGCCTCGCCCTGTTCGCGGCGGCGACTCCTTTGCCTTCATCGCTTCGCCTCGTTTCGTCTCGCCTCGCTTCGTTCGCCCCCAGTTGTGCTTTTCGCAGACTCCGCATCAAAGGATGTCCGTGTACACACGTTTGTTCGGCCTTGCGCGCGCTTCTGATTACGGTAATGAAAACCATAACGATTACAATTGGCCACTGCCGGATGCTACTAACCGCAAACAGAAAACGAGGTTAAACGATGTAGTGATAAATTTCACGCCACTGTATCCAACGTTGTTCTCGGATATTTTATTATATCGTGGTTTATTATACGGAACATCATCGTGGTTTCATTTAATAATATTGTAATTCTGATTGTGGTATTGTTACAGATTTTACATATGAGAAAATGCAGTCGGTTTTATTTGGCTCTTGTAGCGTAGAGCAATTTGTTAATGTTTTTCAACGTTCATGTTAATGATGAATTTATAACTTATAAAAGTTGAAAATGTCATTGATGTTACTTCAAAGAAGGTCATTCATCCCACATTCCCTTAGGTTTTTATAACAAAATTGTATATCTTTGGAATCTTCTGTATCTTTCTTGTCGGTTTTTAATTCTAATACTTCTAGTAAAATAGTATTAATAACTATTGAAATGGAAATTATGCATTTCAATGTTTTCATTTTCAATATTAAAATTTGGACAAATTTAAATATAACTCAAAAATACTTTTTGTTGAAACGTGCTTCAGATGGAAGTATAACATAATGACAATGTAATAGTAAATAAAAATTGTAATGGGAAAAAGTTAGCAGAGAGAGAAATCTGAGAATTATTTTCAATAATAAAAAGAATATAACTAAGAAACCAATGCAGCTAATCCATTTTACTTCGGGCATATTGTAGATATTAACTTATTCAATATTTGCTTAAAAAAGAAGTCTAATTAATTAATTCAAAATCTACCTGTGGAACCAACTTCTAAATGCAGGTTTTGAGAGAATGGATTTAAAGGGAATATTACCGGAGAGAACGTTTCCGATTTCACCGACATAAATGTAAACGTTTCGTTAGTAAATCGGAAACAAATCCAGACGTCAGCTGACTTTATTGATATGAAACTTTCACTTACATTAAAATAAGCACGGAGAATATTTTAATTTGGTTTTTGAACAATGAATATTTTGATATCAGATAGTTGTATCTACCCCATTAAGGGTCAATGGACTAACTGTCGTGTTGCCGGGAAGATTATTTTGCGTGACTAAGAATGCTAAAATGGTAAGACAGAGGCAAAGGTGGACGAATGCCAGTGAGAGAATAACCAAGACGCGAAGGTAAGAAAAATAAGACGTGAAAAGAAAACGATTGCCTGAGGGAGACCAGACGATAACGCAATGCTCGGTTTAATTTCTTTTCATTTGTTCACAACACGGAGAGCAAAGGATTGAAATTTCAAAATTACATTCTTTCCTTCCTTTAACTGACTATTATAACGTAAGAGTAATACAAAATGAACAACGTTAAAATGAGCATTTGTCCTTTTTCTGTTTCATGTTCTTCAAAAATGAACGTGAAGAGGATGGTCTTCGAATCACTGAGCACGCTCTTCCATGTACTCTTGAGGAAAACTGAAAGGGATGCAATCGGTCTATGTCTTTCTGTGAAGGCATGTAAAAAGATTACAAAAAATCAAATACAGGATGCAATCGGTCTGTGCCTTTTTTGGGATACAGGTAAAAGACTTATGAAAAGTTGAGCACGGAATGATATCAGCCTATGCCTGTTTGGGGAGGCAGATCTTACGGAAAGTTGAGCACGGATGCAATCGGACTCTGCCTTTCTGTGAAGGCTGCTAAAAGACTTACAAAAGTTGAAGACGGGATGCAATCAAGCCATGCCTTTTTCGGGAGGCAGATAATAAGCATATGAAAAGTTGAGCACGGGATATAATTGGACTGCCTTTCTGTGGCGGCCGGTAAAATGCTTACAAAAAGTTGAGCACGGGATGCAATCGGGATACGTCCGCCGACGCGCCCGCTGCCCGCGCAAAGAACGCCAGGGAGCCCGGGGTTCGTGGGGCGGCGACGCGGAAAAGCTGACGAGGGCGAGGGCGAGGAGGGCGCGCGCGTAATCCGGTTTGCGCCGCCAGAGGTCGGGGCCGGCGCGCGGCCAGGCGCGCAACGAGTTGCCGGCGACACGGCGCAAGAGGGGGGGGGAGGGGAGGCGGTCGCGCCGCGGCAACGGAGCCAGCCGGGGGCCGGGCTGGAGAGAAGAGTCGGAGGGAGAGAGAGAGATGAACAAG